GCTACGACCTTGACTCTTCAAGCAGCCTACAGCTACCACTTCGGAACTGTCTAGACTCCTAATCTATAGGTCTATAGTTCAATTCCCTTCTACCCTGTGACCTATGGCGAATTGCCTACCACTGGCGTTCCTACAGGTCGCAGGTTCAAGTCTACGGGTTGACACTGATACTGTACACAGGTAAGACGGGGATCTAGGGATCGAGCCCTGGGATCTGCATTCGCTACCACGAACTGGTGAATACCGTTTCATATTATTCTATTATTAATTTTATTAATTTTATTATTATTATTATTATTATTATTATTATTATTATTATTATTATTATTATTATAGGCTACCAGAGTGGCCCGGGGCAACTTCCCCGGCCGGGCCAAAAATAATTAAAACAATACAAATAAAAATATTATTTTTTATTTTTATAATTTTTTATCTTACATTTGGTAGAGAATTAATCAATGAATACTTCCCACCCCAGTCACTGAAAGGCAGTGAAAGCAACAAAATTACAGAATGATGGAGTGTTGTAAAGCACAGAGCGTCATGTATGCAGATCTGGTAGGTTAAATGTAATCTGAAGGTCTGTATCGGTTGCTATGTCAGTCGGCCTTCCTTAACCATTGATTGCAGAATCTGCTGCAGCAGCCAACGGTCCAGAAGCTCATCACGCAACACTGTTCTGTGGACTTGAGCCCACGTCACCTCTATGATCTTGCGTGAGTATTGATATCTCCGCCCCTCACCCATCTTAGTCTTCCCTCAGTTCCTTGCCTGGAGCTCTCCCATTTTTTGAGTTTTCCACGACTCATTCTGAGTGTTTTCAGTTCTTTGCCTGGAGCTCTCCCATTTTTTGAGTTTTCCACGACTCATTCTGAGTGTTTTCGCCGCCTTCAATGTTTAAAATAAAATACTATTAATCATTCATACAAAGGGTTTCCCTAACCACTCAGCCAGCAAAGCACTCTACTGCTGACTCATGGGAGACTCTGATGCATCTATCATTTCATAAAGCCAGGACTCCCTCAAAGAGAATTTGCTATGTAGAACTATACAAAAATTTCATACAACAGGTTTCCCTAATGCCTTCTCATCAAAGCACTCTGCCATTGATGACAGACTCTGCTGCATCTCTCATTTGGTAGAGCCAGTACTCAATCACAGAGAATTTGCTTTGTAGAGCTCATTCATACTGTTGAGGGAAGAGTGAATTGAAACAGTAGAGACAATTGAGCGCAGACTCTGCAATGTCTGCAGTGTCTGCAGCATCGCCCTCTTCCCCACCCCTCAAAAAAACAATAATAATTTAAAAGAAATGTGTTTCATATTACAGCTGTGGATTCTCCTTCTGCTGCAGGGGGAGCAACTGCTCACTTCCTTTTGAACCAGCAAGTCGATTTAACTGCCAGTTCACCCGGATGCAATCAGACTCGTTCTCAAACACACTTTTCATGCATGTAAACAGCAACGCAGCATACTGGCGACATGCGCCCACTCAAAACTCAGAGATATGGCTTTCAGATACGAGTTCACTCTCAATTGGCTATGGCGACTTCAGCGCCCAAACATCTCACTGTTCACATACACTGGATCACCCTGGATATCCCACACGCATCACTCTGAACACTCAACACACACACACACACTCTCTACTAACTACTGCTATGGCAGCTATGGCTGCATCTAACCTATCGCTAACTAACTGCTCCTCTCTGCCCACTGCGACCTCCGGGCTCATCTGCGGACCTCCTTGCACAAGGCGCTGTGGCAGCGCTACCGCATGGCTCCCGCAGGAATGAATGAATGGCTGGGCKCTGCCTCTTGATTTATACTTCAGAAACTCGTTGGTCTGCCCTTTGCCATCGGCCCATGGTGCTTACAGTCCCCCTGTGGTACTTGCTGGACCGGA